GGGAATGAGATACACCTCCAGAGATTCCAAGACCCCTTGAAATGCTTGTTTTCAGCATTCAGAGACTATCTGCCTGTGGTTGGACTAGTCCTCTTTCTCATACTAAGCTTCTAGGCAGCAGCTGCCCGGAGACAGCTTTGAGATCTGGCCCCCATTCAATGATTGTGACATTCAGAGAGGAACTGTTTCAGGGACCAGAGAAGATGGTAGCTTTCCTCCTCTGTCTTCTGAGCTGTAAAGTCTGAGAGTGCAACAGGCAGCTGGGTACACATCACTGGTTTCTGGATATTTCTCCTGTGTGTGTGTCTTTGTGTGCATATATGTGTATTTGGCATAACTAAGAGCAAGGTCACTTTTTTGTTTTGTCTTTCTTGTTGTCCAGTGAGCCACACCCACTATCCCACATAACCTAGCCTTGTAAGCTTATAAACGGAAGTGCTGTGGATTTGGGGGCTACGGGGGTCACTCTGTTTCTTTTCCTACCCCATGGTTGTTCCTTTATTGCCTGAGAGGTTAAGACATCAATGCACCTCGACACTGATATGAATATGAATGACTTAGTGCCTAGATTGTTCTCAAACCGAGCTGTTCACAGGGCAAGGATCACTTCATTATTGCTCCCTGGTAGGGTTCCATGGCCTTTGGCAGGTGGGTGTCAATCTGATCGGACCATAGAAAAACAGGACCAAAAACCTTGGAAATCAATCATTCCTAAGAAGTCAATTGGCACTCTTATCCCAGTCCTCATCAGTGGAAAGACACAAAAGTGAGTTGAAGTAAATATTATTCATTATTAATAGTAAATCCTGCTAGTTTTATGTATTTGGCTTTAAATCTGTTCTAATTGATACTTAGGAAGCTGCATTTGAGATTCAGCCTCTTGACAAGATCACAGTGCTGCAGGATTAAGAGTCAGATGTGTGTTGTAAGTGCTGTAGCGACAGGCTGGGATTACTGAAATAAGATGCAAAGTATAGACAGACATTTTGTAACTTTCACACTTAGCTGGAATTAATAAGTTCCTATTTTTGTCAATGTCGGAAAGCCAATGAATGTCAAATACAGAGTATCTCAGAACATGTTCATATAAGGATCTGTACCTTCAGCTAAAATTTTCTTAAAGCTGATAAGTGTCACATTTCTTCAAAGTACCTCACCCCATCCCCTTGACCTAAGTCTTCAAACCCAAGGAACCTGTGCCCTTGGTGACCCTTACAACAGTTTTTGGAAGCGACACATCCTTTGAGACACAAGAATTTGAAGGAAGTTATATACAAAGTTTCACCCAACCAACCAAATACCATTTCTCTCTTAAAATAAAATTCAAAAATTCCAAATGCCAAACTACGCCAGCCATAAAAGCAAAACATATTTATGCCATCATCAGCCTCACTGTTGTGAAAACTTTGTAAAATCAGCTTAGATGAAGAACCATCAGTCTTTCCCATAAAACATTCCATTCAAGAAAAAAACTGTGTCCAACAGGCTATTGGTCATTTGGGATCCCATGGTTTTGCCTCTCAAAATGTCCCCTTTCCAGAGGGACAATCACAGAGCACAGCTAGATATTTCAGAAACAGCTTTGGGGCTGATGAAATTCCTCCCTTTTCATATTCAGGTTTTCAGCTGTATGCCCCCTCCACCTTTTGCTCTAAGAACTGTGTGGGCCTTAAGAATCAGGGGGTGAACAACACTAGGGGAGACAGAAGTAGCTTTCCAAATAGTAAGCTGAGCACTGTCTTCTCCCTTCCCCTCCGTTTGCCAGGCGTTCATCACTTGTAATGAGTTTGTTGTCTTATCAGTTCCTATCAGAGCTCTCACAGTAAGAGAGGTGATATTATAGGACAGAAAGAGGCCAGGGAACCCAGCCTGATCTGTGCCTCAAGGTCACTTGTTTGCAGAATTTCTCATATTTGGCTCCTAAATATTAGGCGATTGTCAAATTCAGCCCGTTCCTACAGCTAGGCTCTAGCTTTAACAGTCAAGTAATGTACATCCTGAATTAACTCAATCAAGAGGTTTCTTTTAATTTTCATCCCATCTGAAGAAATCTCCCTGAACAGCCATGCTATTTTTTCTTTATTTTTCCAGCCTAAAGAGGGGAGGGGGAGGGTGTGGAGGAGGGAACGCCAGTTTGGGGGGGGGGAATAAAACTTTCGCATCTGACATTATTCACAACAGAGTTTTGTGCCCTACCTCAAGTCCCTCAGCAGGATCCTATGGAGTTGATTTAGATCGCATGAAACCTGGATTGACTAGGGCCCGGACAACGTCTACTGAGGCAATCACCACCACCCCCAGCACACACGCAGACCCCAAGTCCCACAAGCAAAATACAAATGCGGTCCCCAAGGTCCCAAAGGGAGGAAAAGCAGATCTACTTACAAGCATTAGTCACAGAAAAACTATTGGAAGAATCCAAGTGATCTACGTGGTAATTCAAATGGAAGGGCTTCTCCGTGGTGTTCTGGTTGGTGTTGTATAACTGCACGGCAAAGCGGAAAGCGCTGTGCTCCTGCACCGTGTTTCTCATGAAAAGTCCACCTATAAGCAAAAGGAACCGAGATTTGGCTTGTGCACCCCCCCCCCCAGGACCGGTTAGAAATTGGGGAGCGCTACAGACAGGCGATATCTCTCAATGGTACCGGGCTGTGCGGTGATTATTGATTTTCAACCTGTGTGTCTTTCTAGACTCTTGTGAACTCAAATTTTGGCCAAGAGAAACCTGGTTTTCCTCCTGACTTGAAGAGGAAAAGAAGAGGCTGGGAGAAGGGGGAAAGGGGACAGACGGGAGAAGGGGCTGCTTTGGAGTCGGACGACGGAACCAACATCGGGACTTGGTTTTTTCTCAGGCAGTAGCTTCCTCTCCACTTCTCTCCCCCCCGCCCCACCTCCTACCCCGACGCCCATCTCCACAAGCTGGTTCATCTTTTCCTGGTGCAACGGGAAGGATTGGGAAGAAAAACAATTCCATTCCCCGTGCTGCCCCGTCCTGTTCCCCATAGCCATCCCCCCCCCCTCCCCCAGGACAATACAGGGGTCTGGTTCAGTAATGGCAACAATTCTAACTTCCGGACTTGTAAATCCAAGACAGAAGCCGAGAGAACTCTCTCCCAGCGCCCAGGAGCCGGGCTCCAGCCAGACACAGCGGCAATTCATGAATTCGTGGTCTGCGTGACTTCGCCGCCCGCTCCTCGCCTCAGCCCCCGCCTCCTACCCCATCCGCCACCGGCCCCGGCGGCCGCCCGGGGTCCGGGCGCTCCAGGGTGGGCTTCCAGCTCCCCTAGCGCCGGTCGGTCTCCGGGAGGCGGACAGGCGGGACGGGGCGCCCTGGCGCGGCCAGACAGGCGGCATCACCCTGGGACAACTTCCAGCCGCGGCACGCACGCCATGGCAAAGTCCAGAGCAGCCAGCCGAAAAGCCGCGACTCTTCGCCCCTTTGCAGCCTCCCGGCCTCCTGCGTGCCTCCCCTGCTCCGCTCGGCTCGCAAAACGCGGCAGCCCACCGCTCCCACCCCCAGCCCCAGGAGACCCCTCTCCCGTCCCCGCCACTCCCCACACCCGCCGGCTCTCCGGGGGCTCAGGTGACCTCCGATCCTGTCCGGTCCCCGGCCCCGGTCCCCTCCCCGGGCCGTGCAGGACCGGGACCCGCGGCCGCGGCAGCCCCGCCAGGGCAGGGGTCTCGGGTGCAGGGGAGCCCGGCCCGGCCGGCGGCTTGCTCTCGCTTACCGATGCTGATGGTGTTGGGGAATCCTCCGTGAGAATGACCCAAAAGCCCCAGGACTAAAAGGAAGACCGCCCGGAGCACGTTTTGCCCCATTTTCTTCTGCCTGGCCATGCTACGCCTAAAACGGAGCTGACAAGAGCATGGGCGCAACTCAGGAGTCGTCAAAATAATAATAGAAAAAGAAAAAGAATTCGCCGGCTCTTACACCCCCTCCCCTCAACTTGCTCTCGCTCACTCTTCCTTTCCACCCCACACTAGTCCTCCTCCTCCACCGCCTCCTCTCTCTCTCTCTCTCTCTCTCTCTCTCTCTCTCTCTCTGAATCTCGCTCTCTCTCCCTTTCTTGCTCCCTCTCGCTCCCAGGCTCTCTCACACCCCCTCCCCGCCCCCCACCTCACTTCTGTCTTCACACCAATCTGGAAGGCGGGTTCATTGGCTGCAAGCTCTGTTCGCCAAAGCGATCTCTCTCCCTATCACTACGAGAGAGAGAGAGAGAGAGAGAGAGAGAGAGAGAGAGAATGAGAGGCAGAGAGAGAATAAAAACCTAAAACACCAAACAAAACAAAAAAGACAGAACACCGAGAAACAAAACAAAACAAAACCCAAAGAAACAAAAGAGAGAGAGAGAAAGAAAGAAAAGAAATTCTAAAGAAAATCCGAGACTTTTCTTCCCCCAGAAGATGGTGGGTCTAAAGAGGGGAAAAAAGAAGCAAAGAGCGAAAAGGCTCAGCGCCGGTGAATTGGGCTCTTCCAATTGGGCCGGTAGGGGGATATTGATCAAAGTTGATCTGACGTGGAATTAAAGCCGCACACCGCTTAGCTCCACTGCAAACTGCAGCCCCGGACTGCAAAGCCTCGGCGCTGGCGTTTGTCAACACTGGAGATGGGATCGATAGAAATCCACTAGTCTTCACGTGGAACTAGCCTTTCAAGCGGCAACTGGCCCTTCAAAAAAAAGAAAGAAAAGCTGCATTGCCTCTGCGTTTGTGTGTCTGTCTTTAAGAAGGGGGGTCTTGGGGGGGCCGTTAGTGGTTACTCCGGAGTCTTTGTAGAGACTCGGAGAGGCAGTTCCCATCACAATGCGCCCGAATTTGCTGCGCATGCCTGGTCCCTGCCGCTCAGTTTTTACAGCAGAGCTCCGAGGGCGAGTGAACAACCCCCCTTCCACTCCCACGGCCCTGAGAGGCGAGTATCTCCCCTTGCCCAAGTGCAGAGCTGGGATTGCGGCGGGGAGAGGGCAGTGATGGGCAGTGTGGGGCTGACTGCTTTGGGGGTTGTAGAAAAGTGTGTGCGTGGAGTGGTAACTAAAAGGTTAATGAAAAGGACGCTCAGTCCCACCGGCCAAAGGAGGAGAGAGGTGTGGGAATGAGCTAGGGTAAGGGTGGGGATTGGAAGTTAAGGTTGGGGGAAACTGTCCCCAGCTACTTTGCTCCCTTGCTGTAGCCTCTGGACAAAGCAGCCTGGGCCCCTGCCCCATGACCCCAGAGACTATCAATTCTTCCCCAGTCCTCTTTTATTCCTTGCTCTAAGGGGAGGAAAGAACCTTCCAAGTCAGGCAGCAGGCCTGGACCTCTGTTGGGGGATGGTCCCCTCCACAAGATATTGTGCATGAACGTCTTAGACTCTTCTCCCTAACCCCTTTCTCCAGTGGTGGGAGGAAAGAAGCTTCCTTATCTTCTATGTCTTTCATTCCTACCCCAGCTTCTCTGGAAGAGACAAGTGTTATTCCTTTCCATGCCAGCTGCTCTCCTTTTCATATCCTCTCCTCCTGCTCTATGTGGAAAATGAACTCTCCTGCCAATGTACAGCAAACTGGTATACATGGGGCAGGGGCCCAACTGGTCCACCAGTTACTCTGGAACTTTGGATTTGGCATAACACAGGTTGGAGCCTGGAATAGCGATTTTCTAGGGGCACCTGGGTGGCTCAGTTGGTTAAGCATCTGACTTCCATTCAGGTCATGATCTCAAGTGGTGAGTTTGAGGCCTGCATAGGGCTCTGTGCTGACAGTGCAGAGCCCGCTTTGGATCCTCTGTCTTCCACTTTCTCTGCCCGCCCCCCGCCCCCCACTGATTTTTTTTTCTGTCTCTCTCTCAGAAATAAACATTTTTAAAAAAAAAGAGTAAAGAAAGTTTCCAAACCCTCAGGCAACCAGAAAAATGGTTCTAGGCTCTTGCCAACCTTCTATCCCTTCTGAGAATGCAAAATCTCTTTCTGCCCCACCACTCCTAAGAATCTTTCATCTCCATTTGCATAGTCCGTTGCTAAAAATGAGGGAGAAACTTGGGCATGACAGGAGACTGAACTTGCAAGTGATTGGAGCATTAGACCAAAGGAGGCAGCAGAGACGAGGTTAGCCACCCCTTGACGAGTGTGGGGACTGACAGCATGGCTCAGGGATATAGGCATAGGAGACAGGTCTAAGTTCAAGTCTATATTCTATTACATACAGGCAGTGTGTGACCTTGAGCGACTTTCTTAATCTCAACTCCAGTTTTCGCATCTGCAAAGTGGGAATATTACTGTTACTTTCCCTATGAAGTGGTTGTGGATTAAATAAGGATTAAGTAAAATAGTGGGTGCTAAAACATCTAATTCAGTGCCTGATTCATAGAAGAATCAATAAATGTTAATTTCCAGATGCCGTTCCCCCCTTCTCACCCTTTAAAAGTGCCCTTTCTCCCCAAAAGTGCCTTCTGTTGTCAGCCTCCCCTTTCTCCACCATCCCCCAAACCTCAGACTCTGCTACCAAGTCTTGGCCTGTGTTCCATCAAATTCTTCCCATCAGGGTTCCTTAAGAGCCCTAGGAGACAGGAGAGAATCTGGTAGATGAATCTTTACTAACGTTCTCATGGCAGGCAGTGACAACTTAATATTAAAAATGACGTTTAGAGAACCTCTACTCTGTGCCAGGCACTATATGTTCCTCCTTTTAGATAACATAGTTGCATTTTAATAGAAGCCTTCAATGCCTTGACCGGAGGGATAACTCTAAGGAGGAGTTTCAGTTGTGATTTCAGGTGGGGAGACACTACATTTCAGATGGAGGGAGTAGCTTTCAACACACCTCATTTCCCTCCTGAAAGCGAACAGGTCCCCATCCATGTTTGGCTAGCCAAGAGAAGAGGTGGAGGAAGAGATCTGTGGCCTTCTTCAGTGTCATTTGGCTTGAAGACTAATGGGCTGGATGAGTAACAAGAGATGAGAGGAAGAAAGGCATTTCAATGCCCGTGCACTTGAAAATCCTCCATTGCATTCATCACTGTAAATGGGCACCTATCCTTTCTGTTTTCAGTCTCCCCTGCCCATTACCTGTTTTCCTCTCTTTCATCTGCTGCCACTTTTTTAACTTTTAGCTGTCAGTTGCAGCTGTTGGCAGAATTGGATTAGTCCCATCTGAGCCAGCAGGGACACAGTGGTGAACTAGGCATATTGCTGTTGGTTGGAAAGTCCGTATAATACATGCAAATTCTTTTGCATTCAATCCCTCACGGAAGAAAGCGGTGAGATGCTTTTTGAACTTCATCTTTGTTTTTCCAATGAGGAGCTAGAGATTGTAGTAGCAAGCATCACAGCCGCCAGAAGTTGCCAACTAAGCCCCAAATCCAGCGCCCTCTCTCCCTCTCTCTCTCTCTCTCTCTCTCTCTCTGGTTAAGAGGTATCTCTGCTGGATTCAGAATTACCTGGCAAGAAAATAATTCATTGCAGTTCTTACTGAGAGGTTGTGTTCTTTTGTGAAATGGTTCGTCAGGTGTAGCTGCAAGAGAGGACACAGGAGAGGCACAGGAAAATAAAGTTTATTATCCTCACAAGTTTTAGAGAAACTGAGTCACTGTACGCCATGAATGGAGGCCACACAGGGTGGGGGAGCAGCAAATGTGTGTGCTCAGCCAAGCAAATGGGGAGGAGAGAGAGAGAGACAGAAAGAGAGAGAGAGAGAGATTGCCCCTTGGGCAAGTGCCTTTATCAGGTTGGAACATACAAACAAAAGGCATGCAGGAGGTGATTTCATTGGTACATTTGAATGACAATAGGTCGCAGTCAGGGGAGGGCAATTAGGGGAACTTGTGGCGGGGGCCAGCCTTGTCACAGTGATGCACCCAGTCACCTGGGTGGGGTCCTCACAGACGGTTTGTGGGGATGTTGAGGCAGAAGGAAAATACGAAGTTTTAAAATTTACAATATGAAAGTGAAAATAGTACTCCTCTTCATGAGGTTTCTGTTTCAGGCTTGGGATAGGGCTCTTGGAGAAGCAGAAAGAATGTTGGCCAGTGAACTTTGGAGAAAAGATCTAACTATACATTAATCCTCATACTCGTTAACTTGATACCTTGTAAATAAGGAAAATAATGACAAAAATCATTGTGATTCATTGGAAGGAAACTGCCATACCCTTTAAAAGTAATGAAAACAAGATTCTATATCCTTTGCCTAATAGAAAGATAACTTCCTCACTATTTGACTTGAAACTTTGATTTCTTGAACAAACGTTTGGCCACCTGCTATCTGACAGATTCTGGGAGGCACCAGGGATATAAGGAAGAAAGACAATTTCTGCTTTCAATGAATTTCAAGTTCAGAGAAGGAGCATATGTATTCAGTGGCAAGGACAATGTAACATGGTAAGTGCTGTGAAAATAGTTAAGCACCAGGTACCAAGTACAGAGGAAGGTGTTCAAATATCTGAAAAAAGGTACTTTCCTTCTCCCAGATTCAGTCCCATGCCATCACAACGAGAAGATAAAGCAAGGTGATTTCTAAAGACTTCCCACTCTCATGTTCTATGGTCCTATGATTCCGTGAGTCAGGATTATCTTAGGGTGAGGAAAAACTGTCTAACCTTCAGCCTACAATTCTCATCAAGGAACTACTTTAGGGACTCCCAATTCTTTATGGCTGTCTCTTACATTTTCATTCCTGGATTCTTGGGAAGAATAGAGTCCAGTCATATCTGGAGACTCAGGTTGGGTTTGACATCTAAGAGAGCTTGGGTCTTCCATCTAACTTCTCTATCCTTCAATCTTTTCTATGATACCGCCCTTCCAGAAGTCCTCTATGTAGATGCCAACCTTGGTGTTGCTGAATGAATCCACAGCCCTGAGGAGCTGAAATT